CTCCCACACAGTCCAAAAACATGTTGAGGTTAATTGGTGATTCTAAATTGTCCATAGGTGTGAAAGTGAGTGTGCTTGGTTGTCTGTCTCTAAGTGTAGCCCTGTGATAGACTGGCGACCTGTCCAGGGTGTCCCCTGTCTTCGCCCTTCGCCAGCCCCCCCGCGACCCTAGTGAGGATTAAGCGGTGTATAGATAATGGATGGAGTCACCTCCTGTTGGCTACTGGAAAGAATGCAGGTACAAGGTACTTCCATGTTGGCTTCACTTTTCAGACACTGAGCCTGAATCCATGTTTTACGTACAATCTATGGTTACACTTTGTCAGCCATAAAAGGACGTGTAAGGTTCCACTGAAGATGAAAACATATGGCCTGGTAAAATGATATATTTCTGCTGAGGCTGCATATGGTAGAGTCAGAATTTGGTATCAAAAGCATGAATCCACAGACCCAATCTGGCTTGCATCAACAGTTCAGGCTGCTGCTGGTGGTGTGATTGTGTGGGGAATGCTTTCTTTGCACAATTTGGGACACATAATCAGAAAAATGGTTTAAATGCAAAGGTCTGGCTAGGGGTTGTGGCTGACCATACGCATCCTTTGATGGCCATAATTTACCATCTTCTAATTGCCGATTCCAGCTGGATAAAGTCAAACTGATTTCATAAACATGACAGTGACTTCAAGGGACTTCGGTGACCTCCCTCGTTTGCTGATCTGAATCCAAGGGGATACCTTTTGGGCATGGTAAACTGAAGACTAGCAGCATGGATATGCAGCTAAAAAAATCTGGAGAAATTATATAACAAATCATGTCAACATGGTGCAGACATCTCAGATGAAGCTTTTCAACATTGTGGATTCCATGACACCAAGAACTGAGGCTGAGAGCAAAGAGAGGCCCGACCCAGTACTGATATGGTGTTCCTAATAGAGAATGGGTACCTCTCAGGTGGTGGGTACTAACTATTACTCAGTCTCTACTCTAGCCTCTGCATACTTTGCATTGTGCAATTTGGTTTCCATCAAGACCCCATGCCCTATTATGTGGCTGAGTAGAAGCAGCCACTCCAATTTTATTCAGTGCGGAAACAAAAATGTGACTCCTTTCAGTACTGCCATTTTGGCTCTTTTCAGTGATGCTGCACACTGTTGCTTCAACGTCATAAGCTTTAATGTATTCAACTTTAGCTCTTACACACACACAATACTCCTTCCTGCCTGGGAAAACTGAGGTAATATCGGCTCATTTACACGCTAAATATACTTCAAAATCATGTAAGATTTATGAGAAACATTAGCTGATAGTGCAGAACCGCAGAATGAGTGTTGAACAGTTATTCGGCTAACTTGGCTAGCTGTGAACGTCAGTGTTTGAGACGGCGGTAACGTCAACTTACCTGATGAGTAGTTACAGTTTCCCTCCGAGATATCGTCTTCCATCTTGTATATCCGCGGCTCTTAGCTGACAGTTACGATGCGTGAGTACAATATGTAAATTCAATCTTAGAACGTTGTTTCCTTTTCCTTCATTTCTTGTTTTTGTGAGAGTCAGACATGCTAAGTCTAAGTTTAGCTCCCCATTGCAAATTTTGACTGGAACCCGAAGATTCGTCCGACGATGTTTTTGTTCCGGATTGTCCGAGTCAGCGGTTCCTAGGTCAGGTCTGTCCAAATGGAGTGCAGTCCTGCCCCGAAAACTTTCTTCAGCTATTGAACTGCATTTAATACTGACAGCTAATTAAGACGATTGTACCGTATTTGAACTGAGTCTAATGGTGAAAGAGGAAGCACTTGAAGGGCGGAACCTTTGACAAGCATGTGTAAGACAATATTTATGGTCGGACGTGTATGAAATATGCATCTCTGTAAAACAGTGTGAAAAGAAGAAGCCAGTTTTGGTTGGTCCTGTTTTATATCAAATGTCTGTATGATCTCAAAATAAAGAAAAAAAACAAAATATAGTCATTTTTTTTCTTTTTAATGACTAGTTCTGTTCATTTAATATTGACCACTTTGATGTTCCAAACTTGGACAATATGAGCAGTTTGTACAAACATTTGTCAGCTGTCAATATACTGGAATATTTTGACTTTTTGCTTTATAGATTATGCATTTCAAACTGTACTATATTATAGTTAGAACACACCTCCATCCAGCTTCTGCTGGTTTAATGTCGATTTTAATGAGTGTGTCAAGCAGCATATTCGTGCTCACACAATACAAACTCAGTTGTCATCAATGCTATCATTTAACATTAAAGGATTGCTCAAGATTCCATTTTCACAGCAGTATTAATTTCCTCCATGGGGAGTTTCATACAGGTTCTACATATCATTTTGTAGAATCTGTAAAGTGGGCTCACTAGACCTTTATAGCAGTCAGGTTACATTCTTAGTAGTGCTGGCAAAAGGGTTTGAGAAGCCTGTCCATCCTGAGTCTGACAGTGTCATAAGAGTGCACCTTTAACTTCATTGGAACCACAGCAATGAGACAAAAGTTTCCCATAAAGTTTTTATTTGTGGTGGCAACGTCATGCAAGAGCTCTGGTGAGACATGAAAAAGGGAAACTTGAAATGATGAGCATGAAAAGCAAAACAGAAGCGGATATGTCTTGAAAGTGATGCAACGTTTGTAGTATAGTGAGACTCCTCTCCAAGTCAAACAGGGAAAATCCTTTTTAAGAGTTAAAATTATGCACAACAGGTAGACAATTCTATGGACTCTGTTTATTGGAAACCAGCAAGAAGATAAAAAATAAATACATCTGCACCTAAAGAAAAAAAATCTGTCGTGAGACTTTACATACAGCACATTACCAGTGTGTTTATGCATCTCAAACACTTAAAAAGGAGCCATCTGAAATGAACGGGTTGGGCGGTGATGTGTAATTACAGGTGATACTTATTGGGTAATGACTGCTGTATTTATATGAAGAAAGCCATTTACAGTGAGGAGAGTTAACTGGCTTCCTTTAAACCCTTCGCTTTAATTCTCTTTATATCTAATAAGCATTTTGTTTATTATTGTTAAGTAAAATACACTGAGGCAACCCATACTCATCAATTCCGATGGCATTTGAACAAAAATAGAACTCAAGAGTTACAGAGCTGCTTCAAAAAAAATAAAAAATTAAATTATGGCACCTATATTAGACTTATGTTCTACCACAGGGCATGGAAAACTTGAAGAGATAGTCTTTTCAAATGGGAATGCATACTGGTCAAAATAGAAGAGCAAAACATGAGCGGTTTGCCCACCAGCTTCATGAGGATTCAACAAATTCCTCCCCAAATTGATTCAGGAAAAACAATGCACATTTATTTTGATTGCAAATACTATTACAAACGCTCAATAATATCCCACCACAAGAAGTCCGCTTCAGTATCATACAATGCCAAATTATAGGCAATTTTACATCTTCAGGTCTTATTCACCAATGTGTCAAATCTTCAGAGTACACATTTTTATGTAGAAAACCCTTCTCGCTTTTTTCTTCCTTTATACAGAGTAATAAAAAAAGTTAAGGCAAGATGCATCAAACAGAAATCCCAAAGCCGTAGACCGGCCTCTGCAGGTGTTCCGATTCGGCTCCTGCTCGCTCTCTGTCTCAGGCATCTTACGCTGACGGGAGGGGAAGAGGAGGGAGCGGAGGTGGAGGTTGGGAGTGGGGGGCTGTCAGAGCTGTCTGCTGCCGCTCCTCTTCCCCTCCGATCCCCTGCTTTGAGTCTGCCAAAACACTTCTCTTTGGCACTTAAGCAGGCAGACTCAGCTTCTTTCCTTTCAGTACTGAAACGAGACAAGAAACACGGATATTAAACACAGCAGACTGTCGCATAGACAGGCAGCATTCATCACCGCAACAAAACAGACTGATGGACCTGCAGGTGGCTTACTGTGAAACTGCTCAGTATTTAAATCCTTACAGGAAGATTTCACCAGATGAGTCTTGGTGCATTGGTACACTGTGGCTTCAACCCAAAACCCCTCACTCCCTGTTGTTGCCCAATTTAGTGCAGTTTTACCAGGTTACTTCTGTTGCCTGGATGCTCTCTTAAAAGGTTAAAGTCAGGAAACAAAAGTCTTTGTTCTGCACAAACTAAATCAAAGACTTGTGGCTGTTCGTAAGTCAGTATAGAATAAAACCTCTTGCATGGAGGGGGGTCTACACACCACTACACCTCTGCATGTCAGCAAAAAAGCATATCCTCTCACTCAGCCTTATTGAATGTCATGCAGTTCTGCAGGTAGGTCTGGTTTAATGTGCTGAGACACAACATTTTATGCTAGTGACCCTTAATAACAAGAAAATGCTCACTCGCACCCCTCTAAGGTGTGAGCAATTTATCAGACACCTGTGGAAGAGGCAGAACGCAAACATGCAGAAATGTGACATGGATGTGGGAACTGCTCGGACTTCAGTTGCATTTGTGATTCAATCTACGGAGCTATGGATGTGTCTGATGTTACTACTATGAGAACCTGCAGTGCTTCAATACCACGACAGGTGCTTTAGTTGCCACAGCTCGTGGTGCACCGATCATCTCTGAGGTCCCAACAACTACATAATACTGTATCCTAATACAGCTTAGATTTTCTTTGAGTCAAGAGAGAATGCAAAAGTTATTGTGAGGTAATGCAGTTACAATTCACAAAAAAAAAAATCTCTCCGTGATCTTTTGGGAACCTCATAGAAACTTAACTTTACAAATTTTCAAATTCTGTTTATGTCAACAGCTGCAATGGAAATATGCATATAATCTAAAGTGCTGTGCATCATTTCATACAAACCAACATAATTTTGATATCTTAGAAAACTTTTAGACTACATTAAATAAAGGAAGTTACTGGATTTGAAAAAACAAACAAACAAACAAACAAAAAACAACACCACCAAGCCAAACATGTCACCACCGGATGTGGAAACCCAAAGTGATGAGAGGACAAACTTGTGTAAACTCAGTCAACTAGAAACAAATCTACACAGAATACTCTTAGTTCACTTTTAAATCCCAGCTATAATGCTTCTGTTGTGTCTGTTTCTGTCCTCTAATAAAGTCTTTCTGCTGTCCGACTACAGGCATAATACTAAACTGTCCATAATGAAGACAGTAACAGCCTCCACATTTACTGCAGTGAAGGTCACATCAATTGATAAAAGTCACAAATTGTGTTACTGGAAGGTCTCAAGGGAAATTCAGACATGTCTGATTATTTACAAAATAATAAATAGGATTTATTGGACTCCAACTAAAATGGCAAGACTGGGACTTAGAAACTCTGACCTATGCTGGCGATGCGATACAACCTGGGGCACTCTCTTACACATGTTGTACTTGTGCCCTAGGATAGATGTGCTATCGTCTAAGATTGTTTCCTTTATTAGCAAAATCACGTCCTCTGCATTGGTTCTGGGACCTATGCACTGCATATTGGGCATAATACCGAAGGAGTGTCGGCTGAATGCCCACCAAATTTCATGGTTCAGGATAGCACTCCTCATTGGCTGCAGGACAGTGCTGAGGCACTGGAAAACCACAGGAGAAGTCCCAGTAAAGGAATGGTTCGATGAAATGGCTAAAATCTCCTCCTATGAAAGACTAAGTTATAAACTGATAGGGAGGGAAGAGGCTTATGTTCAAATACGGTGCCCTTTTACCGAGATAACCTGAAGAGCTAGAGTCACACCCTTACCTCACCTATGTCATATCTCCTCAGATGATAATTGTAGTGCGAGGTATGCTGGTTTATTTAGTATGGAGTGCAGTATTACTTTAGACTGAAAATATATTATTTAGAATATATATTTAGCATCCATACACCCACAAAGTCTATATGGACACTTATGTAGGTAAATGTATAAACTGGTTGTATGATATGATGCTCTCCCACTATCTTTGTTCTGTGTTTTGTTTTATTTACAGAATGCTAAATCATCCTCTTGGTTTCATATGGAGTGTGTATGTTTGGTTGTGAAAAAGAAAAAACTTAATAACAAGAAAATTATATATATATAAAGCACAACAACTACAAATTGTGTTACTGCAACTACATCCATGCTATTTCCTTCTGTGTATGTTGGAACGGACCACCCCAAGTGGACTCCAAGCAGACTAGAAAGTAATACACTAACAACAATTACACATCACTGGTGTCCGCAACTATCAATGTGCAGGTCTGAAACGGATTAATCACGGTTCAACTATCTGAGGTGATCCAGGGCACCTGCAGTAAAAGCTGGTATTACTGAACTCAAAACTGTTAAAGCATGGGTTGTCGTTCGCATGTGTAAAGTGACAGATTTTTTTTTTTTATAAAGAAAAAAAAAAGACAGTTTCAAGTGCTGTATAAAAATCAAATGGAAAAAGCAGCAGCACTCACCTTTTGTTACATACAAATAGAAGAAATCGCAGTAGAGGATGGTCTGCACCACTCCAGCAACGATGGCAATCATGTCAAAGAACCCCTCAAAGTAGAACCTCCATATCCAGTTGATAAGGTAGAGGGCTCTGTAGAGTCCCAGGAAGAACAGGTAGTGGGTGGTGATGGTTTCAGCCTCTCCTGTCTTGCTGATCATAAAGAGCTGGGGCAAAATGGCCACTGACTCCAAGTAGATAGAAAAGGTCCAGAGAATCTGAGGCACAGAGAACAGAGGACAGAGTGTCAGCAGTGACATGCATTGTGACCAAAACATGACTGAATTCATATATTTGCAAAGTTGTTTGAGAGACCAAGTGAAGGTTCAATCATCATCCTCTGAAAAACCATTGTAAGCAACCTGTTAAGATGGCTTTGAAAAAACTGGACAACTAAAACTGGACAAAGCTCTAGTTTCAGTCTTAGAGGTCTTTTTCTGTGTATGTCAGCTTATTACTGTGAAGACATTAAATGGCAAACATTGAGAACGATGTAGGACATGGTCTGTGCATAGCATTAGCTTGGCCTGCTGACACTCAGTTAGGGCTTCTTCACCATGAGAAGATGATGAGTTTGTCAAACTTGTACACATACAAGCACAAAGAAAGAAAAAGACAAAAAGAAAAACAGAAAAAAAGAGAACAGACACAAGAACAGTGACAGAGGTATAACTGAAACTTCCCTTTTGTGGTACTGTGGTCATGGTTGTTTCTACAGACTTGTGACACCTGTCTCTCATGTCGGAGAGCTTAACTTGTATTAGATAAACTTGCATAATAGACAACTATTTTGTATTATTTTCTGACCTCCAGAGGAGAGAAATCGTGGTTAACCAGGAAAGCCAGGCCGCCAACAGGTACGACCAGGAACTCCACTCTGAATGTGTCGTGGTTCCCATCATAAGTGGCCTTAAACTTCATGTAGATCAGGTACACGGTGGCGTACGCACATCCAATGTAGATGATCTGAAGGACAAAGACAAAACATTAAGGTTCTCAGTACTTATTAGAATGATGTGATTCTAATCGTGCAACAGTGACAACAAACGTAAGCCAGTTTCATTTTGCTGCTCAGTCTTATCCTTTAGCAAACACAGGCGTGTCGGCTTGCTGGGTTAGTTACGCCTCAAAACTGTATGTTTAGTGCTTGGAAGAAAACTGCTACAGGATGCAAGGATGAGAAGCACATGTTGGGGTTTCACCTTCATGGTGGTGTTGTAGAGCGATATGAAGGACGTGAGCAGGTCCAGGTAGCGAGTGGTGAACACCAAGGCAAACAGGACCTGACTCTTTCCAGAAATACCTGTGAGAAGCCAGCAGAGAGCATGCAAACATTTAAATGGACAATTCACAGAATGCACCTTTATACAGAGGACAATCTAACAGTTTGTTATAATTTGCTCATGTTTACAGACACAGTTATATCTCACATTAGTGCAATAACCCTAAATTACATATGTGGTGGTTCAACTCCAAAGAATCACATTTTACAAGTAAAAAGCCAGACACCCACAGTAAACCACAGATCTCACACAGTCCTCCACAGTTTTCCACTACTATCTAACAATATGGGCCTGATCCCCTTCCCTCCAAGTAAGAGAAACAAAACGTTTCACCCTTTCAATATTCACTCCTAGCAGTCAGTCTGCAAACAGACAATTTAAATGAAATACCAAAGTCAAGATCAGTGTAGTAGAAATTCCTAAAATACAGGAGCTTAAACCTTTTCTTTGAAAGCTTTTTCTTGTTATTGTGTTTAAAGCTACAACTAAGTTATTTTCATTGTTAAATGATCTGCCTTTTATTTTCTTTACTAATTGTTTAGTTGTTTGATAATTGGTGAAAAATGTCAATCAGTGTTTCCTAAAGATCAAGATGACCTGAAATGTTTGTTTTGTCCACAGCCCAAAGATATTCAGTTTGCCGTCATTGAGGAAAGAAACCGGAAAACTGTTAGTTATTCAAGAAGCTGGAATCACAAATCAGAAAATTCTTAATTTTTTTCTTTAAAAATATTCTACACTTCTTTGATTATCAAAATAGTAGGCAAGAGATGTAATAGTTGAAAACTAATCAATTATGTGTTGTAGCTCTAATTGTATTTCATTGGCATGTCGTTACATTAGGAAGGTGTGGTTTTACAAAGTTACATTGTAATTGTGCCCTCTAATAACCAACTGTTGGTGTAATAATTTCTGCTCAGAGCACATCCACAGTCTTCATTCTCACCTGCATTTGAAGCAAACCTCTCTGTCTATCTGGTGTGTTGGCAAGTGACAACATGAACCATCAGTCACACCCACTGTCTGACTAGGAGGGGGCTATGAATAGTGATCAGGACTTTATCATTGGTGAAGCACAGCCTAGTGCTGTTCATTATGATACATCAGTAATTCGGGCACAGATAACCAACCAGCAAGTATATGAGTATTCAGACCACTGGACCTTAAACAAAGTTTATTTGCACTTAGAGCTATCAGTGTAGTTTAATTTCCTGCAAACAGCAGCGATGATACAAGTCAGGTGTGGAGCTGTCTTGCCGTGTTATGGCTTTAACCTTTGATCCCTGGGAAAACAAGGAAACACTACAAAGCTTCATCACGATAACACAGCATGCAACAAGTATCGTTCCCCTTGCAGTCCGGCTGAGCATATGCAAAAGTGTGCAGGCAGACTTTGCATCTGATAACGTAAGAGTACTCTCTGCTGCCACGTCAGAGAGGTCAGACTAGGCTACTGTAGAGTAACACACAGAAATAGCAGGTGGGCAGAGAGGAACTAGCTTAGTGTCATTGAACAAGTAAAATTACGAGGCCCTTCATTCTAAACTAACAAATGCTGTGGCCCTCTGGTCCCCTATCTAACGTTAGTGTGGGGCCCAATGCACTGTCAAGGCTAGCTAGCTAGACAGCTGCTACTGAAGGCTACCTTTGACCCACAACAGCATTTAACAAGTTTCATGTCCCAGTTAGCCATTTTCTTTCCAATGTCAGAGTCAGGTGCGGCTGTCATTATTTGATGACACCGGTGGTATGGACACCGTTAGCCAGCTAGCTAACGATAGCCGACCACTGGCTAATGAGCTCCAACTACAGAAGAAGTTCCACAGTGAGCTTCTTCACCTGGTTAAACTCTGCATTTACACGAGAAAACACATTTTGTACAACACAGAGGTTCTTTTTATCTCTAAGTTGAGGAATTTGACTACTCACCGGCACAGGACCTGGTTTTCCATATTTTTAGCAGCAGGATGATGATGGCTGCTAGGTGGGACAGATCGCCGGTTAGCCTGAAAATGTTCATGTTTGGGGGAGCGCCAGGAAGAGCAAACCGATTTCAGACTCTACAAAGGACTCCGTTCTTCTCCGCTAACGAATAATTAACGACCTTACGATGCGGAATGACACTGTGAGTGTTGAACAGAGTGATTTTGGGTTCACAGGATGGCAAAATGGCGAGTAAAGCGCGACGTGGCTCGGGGACGTGTCCAAGCTACCAGCATCCAATCGAAGCCTGGCAACAGTTGTTGGCTCAGCCAATCAGCAGGCAGGGATTCTTAATCAGCATATATTATGTTAGTCGAACGCTGCTTTCAAATGCCACCGAAAATATCCGAGCTCTTGGCTCAAGGAAATGAACCAGGAGATCCCGGTCAGCAGTAAAAAAAAAAAAAAAAAAGTTTGATATATTTGACGTGTTACTATGACACGTGTAGATGCACTATATCGTGTAACACAGTGAAGTCCAGGGCTTCAGTTGTTAAGTGATCTGATCTGATTGCAGCAATCGTACTGGATGAAATCTTTAAAAAAAATTGATAATAAAAAAAGAAAATATTTTGAAAGTAGATTAGATCACTTAGTCTGATTTTGGTTGAGTCTATCCCAGCTGACTCAGGGCAAAGGCAGGGGACACCCTGGACAGGTTGCCAGTCTATCACAGGGCTACACTTAGGGACAGACAACCAAGCACACTCACATTCGTGCCTATGGACAATTTTAGAATCACCAATTAACCTCAACATGTTTTTGGACTGTGGGAGGAAGCCGGAGAACCCGGAGAGAACCCACGCTACACGAGGAGAACATGCAAACTCCACGTAGGTGTCCTCACCAGGACGCAAACTGGCGACCTTCTTGCTGCGAGACAATGGTGCTAATCACAGAGTCACCTTGCAGCCTCCAGACATAAGCAGCCAAAAGTAATTTCTAAATGATTCAAATAAAACGTAATTGTGAAAAAGACAATAAATGTTTGAAATACCTGACTAAAGATATGGCTAGCAGCTGGAATTGTTAAACAACAGTATGGATAAACAGCTCAAATCCTAAAGGGATAGATGTTCAGATTTATAGTTTAATGAATAAATACCTCAGACTAAACTGACATTAAACATTAATAGTTAAACTGAAAGAAATGAACACATCTGAACATGAGGGGTGGTGCTGACGTCAGGGCTTTTGAGTCCATCTCACAGTTCTGTGGGGGTACGTGAGACATAAAAGGCTGGGAACCACTGCAATAAAGTCTGTTGTTAATGAGAGCCAAGAAATGCACAAAAATGTATACTTTTTATTCCAGAGCCCATATAATACTCTTACAAATATTGCATCATTTGTGGCACATGAATAGTCCATTGTGCACAATCACCCAAAGCACACAGCAATGATTAAAGTGAGACCATGTAACTTTTAAAAGAAGAAATATCACAAGCTTTCTCTTACAAATAAAATGTTGAATTCAAACCGATAAAACACACCTGTCCTTAGTTCAACATGCTCAGCAGTTCTACTGCTGCACGTGTGGGATGACCAGTAACTTATGCTTGCGAATAGCAGGCAAATTAGATATTGCTGTATGGTTAACGTGAGTCAGTGTGGTGACTTTAAGGATTGTTTTTCTATTTGTGCTACGACTACACTTATGTGTAAGCATTAAAGCTGCACTAATGAGGATTTTTCTGAATTAACAACAGGTCAAATGACTATGTAGTTTGGAAGGGGTCGGTCCAAGTGATGAACCGACGGGAAAGCTCAATGGAGCCTTTTAGTCCTCTGAGTCCTAACTTTACTCTCACAAACTTAAATTTCAGCAGCAGTGACCTGTATTCACCTAAAGCAGCAGAGGGACAAAGTTAGGAGATTGGTTTTGTAAATATGTTACTGTTAGCTGGTCTAAAACAGTAATGTTAAAGCTTGAGAATGCAGTATGTCAGCATTATATTTCCAGCTTGTTGTGCTGCCCCCTAGTGGCGAAAACCAATTAACGTGGGTTTAAATTCTGTAAGTGTCACTTGTGGTCACAGTAGTTCTGTTTAATCTAAGTTACGTGGGCTCACTTTAAGAAGGCCTCACATTCATTTTTCACATTGCTAATGACAAAAGTATTAGCAGTAACGTGCACTGGTTCTCTGCATCAGACCCTGAAAAATTAAAGCAGAAATTCAACAAAGGTCCAACCACAATTCTTCTCATTATTATCACAGAATGATGAAATACTAACAGTAAATACAGACAACAGACATTACAGAACAAACACCTACAGCATGGTGATATGTGGTAGAAGATCTGATCTTCAGTGGCATTTCAGTACAGGCTCACTGCCTTTCAGTTCTTTTTTTTTTTTTTTTGCTTAAAAAATGTCGAGGTATCACTGTCACACAAGATGGCTGGTAAACATAGGAACAACAGTACCTGAGCTTCACACCTGACTCACCATTTCTAAACAATTCAGAAATACTGTGTTTTATGAATGAAGCTTATGAAAATTGTACAATTATCCATCCAGTAAAATAAGGGGGGAAAAAAAGGGCCTCCAACATTCCCTCAATTCCCTCGCTTTTAGTATTCAATGAGCAGACTGTTCACTGTCATCTGAGGCCTTAAGAACAAAAACTGCATCGTCGAGAACATAATAATCACTATACATGTCCCCCTCACAAAGATATGGCAATCGGGTTACAGCTTCCACGTCAAAGCCTGCCCGTCGGAAAACCTCATTTGACAGGTTGGTTACTTGCTCCTCCCATGTCTTTCCTTTAATTTTTAGGTGTTCTTTAGGACGCTCCCATCTCCCTCCTGAGAAAATATACAGAGTGGTAGGATTTAGATTGCATCAAAAATGACAGAATGTAATGTATCAATGTTCTGCTGGCATATGAAGCACTGATTTCCAACTCACCGACTTCCACGTACGGCTGGAAGGGGAGCACAGCAGCCAGGATGAGTCTTCCTGTCTTGGGAACTAGCGTTTGCCTGATGTTCTGCAGGAGATGCAGAGGATCATCGCAGCGGTCCAGCAGGTTCAGACAGCTGATCACATCATACTGGAAACCTGTCTGCTGCCACTCATCTATACCAAGCAATCTGAGCACAACAGGTGCACACAGAGGGAAGGACAGGCAAATGGAGTTAATCACTCAGGTCAGCAAAGATAGCATTGTCAGATGGGAATAACTTGCTTTCGGAAAAGTTATAAAAAGCAACAACAACAACAAAAAAACAATTTGGCAGCCATAAATTAAAAAAAAAAAAAAAGTTTTTAAAAACAGTATTCAAAATCATAACAAAGACCAGCTGCTAACAAAGGTTGGGTAAAAAACAAGTACATCAACACTAACCAATTCTTAGGAACTGATGCTTTGACTATGACATTCTGTCAGAAGTTTAAGAACAAGTGCTTTCAAAGTCAGCTGATTTTTGAAAACTTTCCTTTTCTCTCACTGCACTAAAACTGTCTTTATTAAAGTTTCGTTTACCCACAGATGATGGATTTCTTTTACCCACAGGAATTTTATTTGAAGTGATCACAGCTCAAGCTGCACGGTGGCTCGGTGGCTAGCATCATTGCCTCACAGCTAGAAGATGCTGGGTTCGCATCCCAGTTAGGATGCCTGGAATCTTTGTGTGTGGAGTTTGTATGTTCTCCCTGTGCAGCATGGGTTCTCTCCGGGTTCTCCGGCTTCCTCCCACACAGTCCCAAAAACATGTTGGGGTTAATTGGTGATTCGAAATTGTCCGTAGGTGTGAATGTGAGTGTGCTTGGTTGTCTCTCTGTGTCATAGACTGGTGACCTGTCCAGGGTGTCCCCTGCCGTCACCCTAAAGTCAGCTGGGATAGACTCCAGCCCCCCATGACCCTAGTGAGGATTAAGTTGTGTATAAATAATGGATGGATGGATGATCAAGGCTCAGCATTTAATTGATTGGCATCAAGACTGTTGCTGTTAAATGGTTTGAATCCTACTTGTCAAACACAACATTTTTAGTAGTTGTTGGTAATGCCTCCTCTGTGGTAGCCCTGCTTTTCTGTATACATGCTTCATTCATTTCATTCAGTTAACTGCTTACACTATTTGTCTTTTAGAATCAAAATGTTACAAAAAATGACATAAAGCATCGTTTATCTAATTTTTTTGTATACTCAGTACAATATACATGTTTGCGAGCAACATGTATATGATGCAAAGTGTGTCTTCACAGATTGTAAATGATAGTGCACAATGTCATCTATTTTTTATTTAAATCTCATCATAGTACTGTTGTTCACAATAATGCACCATGTTCTTATTAGCTCATTGTCACAGTAACAGAGGGAAACAAACAACCCTACTCACTTGTAATTCCTCCTCTGGAGATGCCACCTCATGGGCAATGACACCTCAGTTGCATAGATCTCCCTGAAATGGGATCCCATCACCTCTGTGACACCCCCATCCCCAGCTCCGAGGTCCAGGAGTCTCTCAGCCTTCCAGTCTGGGCCGATATGGAGCAGTCGCTGGAACTGGTCCGCAGAAAACACAAACATAGATCCCCGACCCAGAAACCTGAGACGGGCAGCAAGTCAGAGGAAGATCGACTACAAGTGAAAAAGATATCAGTCTGCACCACTCACCCGTTGATGGAGGTACGCGACACCAGAGGGCTGAGAACCGTTGATACAAAAGAATGATAGAGCTGGGTGAACAGCCAGCTGGACTTCTCTGCACTCCTCTTGAGAAAAGCCTTGGTGCCTGAGTCCAGGTGGCTCTGGACAAACAGAGGCTGCAGGGAGTCTCCCAGCAGGTCAGGGGTGCACCGGTACCACTACACAATTAAAATGGAGACAAAAGAACAAATTTGCAAACTTTAACAGATTGTGTTTTGACCTTTTCAACACCTTGTGTCCTCATGGCTTAAACCTAAAAACATAGCTTGTTTTAAACTTAGTCAGACCAATATATAGACTAATATGAGCTGGTGGCAGATACAGTATATTAGTAGTGATGTATTTGTTGGCAAATGAAAAGGAATCATGGTGAAGAAATGCCAAACAAATGACCAACAATTACGCAAAACTTTTTTTTTTTTTTAATCTTGTCATTGTCACAGTGGCAAGTACCCAGGGCCTGTGTTATATGATTAGTGGAGAACACTTTCTTTGATACTGGAAGGTTCTAATGACAACAGCTCTACAAATGAAGACACACCAGGTAAAACTAATGATTTTATGCCATTCATGGTTCACTGATGGGACTCATGGATCCAATTAAATCTTGTTAAACAAACAAAAAAAATAAGTAAACAACAAAAAAGCAAAATAAATATCAGAATCAGTGCTGAAGTGCAAAAAATAAAGAAATAAATCAACCACAGTGTATTCATGTCAGCATTAGGCAATTATTTTTTTCCAATTAGACTGTATTGAAGGCAGAAGTTTGTTGTTTCACACATTTCATTCAATAAACCACCATATCGTTTGTACTTGCCTCATATAGACAGTCACATGACAAATCCTACAGATTTTTTCCCCCTTTAAAAGTCTAACCTGTATAGCGTTACTCAGATGTCATACCTCTTGTGCCTCAGCAGCGGATGCTTCGCTTTCCGTCACCATGTTCATAAAAAGCGACCGGACCAGTGGACTGCGGACGTACTTCCCCGTCCACATCCTCCGGACGGACAGCAGAAAGGCGACGTAGCCAAACACCCAGGCTACAAAAATCAATGTCTTCAGCTGTAGATGACACATAATGAACAACAGACTCTGAGCAGTAGAGCTGATAGACAGCGGCTGCCTCCGTGCACAGGGGGCCGACAGAGAGCCCAGAGAGATGTGGTTAATATTAGATGTTGATACAGAAGCTACAGGCAGCCAATTGTGAACCAACACGCCGGGGCTTCGCTCCCAAGATAACAAACACACAAACCTGAGCAGGGTGCGGTGATTTAAGAAAGCCAGCTGCTATTTACTCTCCATCTTAATCCCGTGAAACAACTGTCTGCTTATTTGTTCCAAATATCCAGGTATTCTGTCAGCTGTGCGGGGCTCTGCCCATTGTGTCAACAAAAACACACTTCCGCATCGGCTGCACTTCCCGAGTAACCTCTAAATGTGTCCCCGGAACTTTCCTTTTACTTTATTACGAATGTAGGAATAATTTGACCGATATACCTTTTCATTTCATGAATTTTGAACAAGACACAGTACTGAAAAATTAAATGAGTGTGTGAGTATTTTTTTGTAAAAGCAATGACAAATTAAATATGCCAAATGAAGTAACAAAAACACAGCAAAACATAGATTTTTATTTTGAATCCTCTTTTAGCCAAGCTTTTACCTTTTAACACGTCTCATGTTCTGTTTTCTTTATGTGCTAGAAGATATATTATGTGAAATAAGCGGGGAACGCTATGACTGAACAGTTCCACCTTGTAAATGCAATGTGCTGATGAAATGCTCAACAACACAATTCAGACAGCCGGGGTTTGACATGACAGTAGAGTCAGTAGATATCCACACGTCAAACTACCACCAATCAACAGTCCGAAGTTTAAAGTGTGATTATTACATTTTCTTTTTGAACAACTCAGGAACTGTAATAAATCATTATCTCTTTCTGTTGGTGAATAGGACCTTTTAGCAGGTTGCTCAGTCTCCACACCTGGCTACAGACAGAATGTTCCTTCCAAAACTTTGCTTTTATTGTTTTTAATCTTTTTTGGGAGGGTGTGTGATTTTTTTTTTAAAAACAGAGATGGCATTCACCCCAGAAATACCCAACATAATGTGCATACAAGAAACATGGTTGAGAGCACAGTGGGATTGTGGGATTCAGGGCTATACAGCAATTAGAAATGACAGAAAAAGTGGTAAAGGTGGAGGTGTGGAAACATTTGTGCCAGATGGGATGAGGTTTAAATTTACAAAGTTAGAGAAAGAGCATGATCAGCAGTGATTAAGGTCTGAGTAGGAAAAAACGTGTGTAGTGGTAGAACAGATGCAAATAATGATAGAAGGATTCATGGAGGAAAAAGGATTGGTATTGTTGAAGAAATTTTACTCATAGTCCTCATGTGAACTTTGCTGTAGTGGGTGTTTATTAGTATTCCGGTATATGGTGGGCTCACCAACACAGAGCATGAGTCTGTGAAGGTGGACCGATCCTGAACATCTGCAGAGTCACACATTTATACTGTCAGTCAGAGGGTAGGGGGGGCTGTATGTAAATACAGAGGTGAATAGAGGTAAATTAACATACAGTTGCTAATCAAGTGATCGGAGGTAAGGGGGGCAATGAACCACAGGTGATGAAATCGGGGTCTGGTGACCACACGGGTGGTGGAGTCGGGGTTCTGATAGCATACAGTTGCTAATCAAATGACAGGAGATAAGGGGGGCAATGAACCACAGGTGATGAAATCAGAGTCTGGTGACCAGGCGAGTGGTGGAGTCGGGGTTCTGATAGCATACATTTGCTAATCAAATGACAGGAGATAAGGGGACAATGAACAACAGGGGGTGGAATCGGGGGTCTGTACCAGGAGGTGGGAAAACACATGACAAAGGGTGATGGGAAAACACATGGCAACAGGGAATGAATTCAGGGGTCTTTGACCATCAAAATAAAAGAAAATGACTTTCTTCATCAGTATGTGTGAAGGGTGAAAAAGCATTTTATATAATAATGCTCAAAACACAGAAAGTGTAATCGATCTAACTCTGGTAACAAATAAAACTGCAGTAATCCTCACCTGGGAGGTGCTTGATAAGTCACCAGTAGGAAATGATCATTGTCCAACAAGAATCAAGTTGGGAATAGAAGTATAGAAAGAGGAGGAATTTAGGATACTAAGATGGAAATTACACGAAGCAAAGAAGGATGCATTTCAAAAACTAAGTAAAAGAAGATGTCATCAGGTACTCAGGGAAGATATTGTAGGGGGAAAAAATCGATAAGAATTTGCAGAAGAAGAACACGAAACAATACCGGGGTGCAGAGGGAGGAAGAATGTAGCATGGTACAAACAAAACAATGAAAACTGCAGGAGAGCCGTATAAAGAAGAAACAGGGCATTTAGACAGCTAAAAGAAGAAGAAGAAAAAAAAAACACCATTCACTACAAACATGAGTTGAATCCAAAAGAGCTCAGGCAGTAGTCAGAAAGACTAAAAGAACAACCAAATGTACATACTAGAGCCAAATACTGTAAAAGAACAGAAAAACAAACACAGCTGCCAGATGTATGGGGAATTGAGAAGAAGAACGAATTAGGAAACACAACAGTCCTAGAGTTGACAAGTAACAACGAAACAGCAATCAGCAACATAGAAAAGGCAAAACTTGGGAAACACAGTGGAGCAAATGATAACTGCAAGGCTAAGTTATTTTTTTAGAAAGTAGAGAACTTTTCTTACCTTTCCAAACTTGGTTTTGGAAGGGCAGCAGAACTACAATAGATCCTGTCTTGTGCTGAGAGTGAGAAATTACAACAGCCCAAACAGACAAGGAATAGTAGTAGCTGTATTTCTTGATGTAGAGAAGGCTACAATACATTGTAGAAGGAAGGACTGCTGGTCAGATAAAGGTGTAGGTATGTTATGCCCCTCCTACAGCACAGACAACAATGGCATGCTGGCATTCCTTCTGTTGTCAACAGGAGTCTAGTTTGGATGCTGCACAGTGGCTGAATGCTGGGTAAATCTCTAAATGATGATAATTAATAATCTTTTATATTGAGTATGTTCTGAAAATATGATTATAGAAATGATAATTTTTTCACATTATCACATTGCACCATTTGTACTTTTCAAGGTCTTTTACAGAAGAGCATGTTTGGAACCACTAAACAGGTTTAGAAACATGAATCATCTGTGACACTGAATTTTATACAGTCTCGTTACTCAGTAATCTGTTTAAACAGCCCTCCATCAGTAAGTTTAATCTTTTTTAAACATAGATGATGAGCAAAGTGTTTTTTTCAGGAATTGTTTCTGACATTTATTATTACATTTCACATACTCATAAGTGGAAAGAATGATTTTGCCAATTTTTCAAGAAATTTCCAAGATCACCAATTCCACAAAGGGACCCAGTGTTTTTGCCATTTATTTCTGATGTACTGTTCTTTTAATATAAATTAGGAAGAAGTGGATCTTGCCACAATTTTGAGGACTTTCCATGAAGAGCCATGAAAGCACTCTCCAGAGTGACTTTCTGTTGGACCCATTCACCACACATTGAGTTTGTAGAAGACGATGCAAATGATATAGGGGGAGTTTTTCAGGCCTGAATGCCAGTAGTAATTACAAATATTTTTTAATTCTGGTGAACTGCACTGCAATACAAATTGCATTTATTTTTCTTGTTGATTTTCTTGTTGATTTTTTTTCCAAGACTCTCAATGATAGAGGTACAGACCTCTCTTGGTGTTTTCAAGGGACAGGTTGGCCAGATCTTTCTTAGTTATGACCAAACAGCTGTAGACAAACAAAAGTATTTCAGAAGTGGCAACCTTATTGTTTAGGCAGTTGCACATGGGGGTCCGTGCATCAAGGCCCTGGATCCTTGCCTCTTCCAGTTAATGTGCGGCCAGGAGCCACCACTGGAGCAGTTCAACTGGCATGTGCTGCCTGACCCAGATGTGCAAAGCAAAGCCAAGAGGGTACTTAATGGTTATCATCAAACTGCATTTTATTTCTATGACATCAAAAAATTGGTCAATCTGGGACTCTAGCTGCATTGTTCTCACTCATGTTTCTGTCTGAGATTCAACAGTGCAAGACAACTGAGGACCTGAAAACACTCCAGCAAGACTTGGGTGACTGGATTTCTAAATGTGGCATCCCAGCAATGTTTTGTGCCACACTAGAAGACATACCAAAAATCTATGCATTTGTGGTAAAGCATTACAGCAGAAGAGCCACTGAGCTGGTGGCAGGCCAAGGCCTCAGTCTTCACTCACCTGGTGAAGGTGATGGAGGGGAAACTGTGTGTTGTGGCAACATCTGTTCACTCTGAGAGAGTCTTCTCAATAACAGGGCAGATAATAACCGAGAGGAGAAACTGCATCAGCCGAGCTGAGACATCGAATTCTTTTGAAAGCAAACCTGCACTCAGGACATACTGTTTGGTGTTTGAGCTGAGTTTTGTTCTGTTTCTGTTCTGGTTCTGTTCTGTGGGCTTGTTTGCAGTGTTTTGTTTCATTTGTTTTCATGTTAAATTAAGATTAAAAGTTTGATTAAAATATTAAACAAAAGTAAGAATGCTTGCTTTTGTAACATAAAAACACACAAAATTAGGCCATTATAAGGTTTCTCATAAAAACACTAAATTCAAAAGGGTTTATCAACACAAAGCATTCATATCTGCCAAGTTAGGCTAAAATATGAGGATAGCAATAATAATAAATTAAGATCCATTTGGGAGCCAAAAGAGCCGACAAAGAAAAGATTGAACTTCCCATCACTAATCCAACCTTTGATTTGAACAGCGTATTTAAAGGAAGACACTACAGGGGAATATGGCAATTTAAAAAAAAACAAAGAAATTATAATTTTTTTTAATTGGAAGTTTTAGGAAATTGTATGTTTAAAATGGCACTTGAAGTGGTACATATCTTTTTCAAAAATTGTATTTATTTTTTTTTAAGGCCTCATTTGCATTCATTTTCAGAACAGAAATCTGAACACTGAGCTTCAAAGTTTTGTTTCTTTTTGCTGACATATTCGATTTAAGAGGAGTTAAGAAGACTCTTAAACATCTCTTTTTCTCACTGTAGAAATTAGAAATACTGTATGACTAGAAATTTTATTTTTTTTTTTTGCCATGTCTTTATAAATAAATTCTTCTAGATATGCAACTATTATAATTGAAATCTACAGATGCAAACTGACTAAGAGTAGATAATAAACACCTAATTGTTCATCATGGATCATTCCTTTCCACTAATCTGAAAAAGACATGTTATGGAAGCAAGTGTACCAAAATGACCAGAGCATGAGAAAACAATGTCGATGGCCCGTGGTATCAAGACACAACTGTGTCTTTTAAAAAGTCTGCAAAGATCAACATCTTTATATGGCAATTGTTTGACTGGTTTTGAAACATTAATTACAAAAGTATACTAAAGTACACCATTATAGAGCTATGAAATCATTATTAGCGTTGTTAGATTACTGGTGCAGCAAAGTAATGCAGTAGAAGTGCAGTTTTTACTTGATCATTTATGTTACTTTGTGTTTTCACTCCACTCCACTTCATTTCTTTCCTTTTAAAAAAAAAAATAAAAATATTATTAAAAAAAAAAAATTTTTTGGTCTTAAGAGTGCATCCACAATAGGACCAGGCGGGGGTGGCACAAGCCATCTCACTGATTTTGATGAAACTTGGCCAGTTTGAAGGAGTCCACCCAAAACTACTTCAGTTTAAGTTTAAAGAAATTTGGTCAAACCCGGGGGGAAGTTGGTCACCTCCTTGTTTTTTTCATTTTTACAAAAATGGCCAAAAATCTCCTAAATGTAAAAGCTTAAAGTATACTATAAAGTATAAAGCTCTACTGCTATAATAATTCAAACAAATCTTTTCATATTTTCAGTGAATGTTATCCTACCCAAGGACAATTTATTGTCCACATTTCGTTCTCCTACGATTAGTTCCTATCACACAAATCATGTCAGCCAAGACTGCCCCTCTCACCCATAGTGAAAACTGTTAAAATACCCAAAATTTAGGCCAAAATATCTCCAATGCAGGGGGTTGGAGTCTATCCCAGCTGACTCAGGGCGAAGGCAGGGGACACCACCAGTCATCGCCAGTCTATCACAGGGCTACACTTAGAGACAGACAACCAAGCACAATCACATTCACACCTACGAACAATTTAGAATCACCAATTAACCTCAACATGTTTTTGGACTGTGTGGGAGGAAGCCGGAGAACCTGGAAAGAACCCACCCTGCATGGGAACAACATGCAAACTGGGATATGAACTGGCGACCTTCTTGCTGCAAGGCAACGATGCTAACCACTGATCCACCTTGCAACCTGAAGAAGAAAGCCATTTTCTTTTATTGTGATGGTCAAAGACCCCTGAATTCATTCCCTGTTGCCATGTGTTTTCCCATCACCTTTTGTCATGTGTTTTCCCACCTCCTGTCACAGGCACCCGATTCCATCCCCTGTTGTTCATTGTCCGCTTATCTCCTGCCATTTGATAAGCAACTGTATGCTATCAGAACCCCGACTCCACCACCCGTCTGGTCACCAGACCTCGATTTCATCACCTGTGGTTCATTGCCCCCGTTACCTCCGATGACTTGATTAGCAACTGTATGTTAATTTACCTCTATTCACCTCTGTATTTACATACAGGCCCTCCCTTACCCTCTGACTTACCCTATAAATGTGTGACTCTGCAGATGTTCAGGGTCGGTCCACCTTCACAGACTCATGCTCTGTGTTGGTGAGCCCACCGTATACCGGAATACTAATAAACACCCACTACAGCAAAGTTCACATGAGGACAATGAGTAAAATTTCTTCAACAAACCCTTTATACTACCTTCAAAAAAATCTTTGGGCACTCACTAAATGATTCTACAGGACTGCAAACACGTTTTCCACCACACGTTATCCGTGTCGAATAAAGGAAAAATACATTTGCTTGAAACTTGCATGCCTGACATTACATCTTAATACAGAAAACTTGATCAAAAAGACTTTGCTCTACTGAAAAGAAATTGATTTTCTTGTGACTCAATGTTGGTTGCTTAATATGTCTAAAAAGGAGAAAAGTGTTTGGCTGTAAAATAATCCCTGGAAATTACTTCCTGGCAAGCGCATACGCATACATCTTTGTAGTTTGATAGCTGGATTAGAGCTTCCATAATAACTACAAACGTAACAAATTTTCACCCTAATAAAAATACAAATTGATGAAAACGAATCAAGTTGTTCTGTTTTCTTCTAAAAATCGGAGTACATGTATGAAAGTTTGACGATACTAAATGCTGAATTGAGGCTTAGGATATGTAATCGACCTAATAGCCCAGATACATCAAAAGGTTGTTGAGATTCACAGGTTTTATTATGGGCTTTCTTCTGTTTCTTTCTTGTCATATTGAAAGTTCTGTACATGCAGTGTGTGGTTGGACTGTTACTGGGCCAATGGAGACACATTTGTATTCTGTTAAACTCCAGCCATCGTGTATGTTGTACACCAATGAACCGCTGAAGGATTTCACTCCTGTTTCACTGAATTTTGATGGTTTTCCAGAGGGAATAGTAAATGACAAAATCTCAGTATAAACAAGGTCACAATAGAAAACAGTTGTTTAAAGTAGGAATAGTGATCAGTTGCCCTGTGAATTCAAATATTAACATTCTCAGTAAAGAATCTCTGGAGCTTTAAATACTCTGGGCTTCAAATGATAAAACAGAAATACAAAGTTATGTAGTGTTGTTGTGGAGACTCTTCAAATTTGTCCTTCACATTTCTCCCTTCCAAAGTTCAGAGGAGTCCTCAAAATTCTTTTTTTCCCCCCTCCAAGTATTTTTCTTTCTTTCTGCTCCATAACTTTGTACTTTTGATCTTGAAATATTGACTAATTTGGTCCATGTTCAGCTCAGATTTTTTTTTACTGCATCATGGCTATTATGTGACAATTTAATGCACATTTCTTGGATAAATCCTGGATTAATTCAAGTACTTGTTTGTACAGAACTAGCATCACTAGCAGAGTGTGTCCAGCAGGTGTCGCCACTTCACCGCTGCTCAGCCCCCCCAGTGCCCCCGGTGTCTATGATGGGCTCCACGCTGAGAACCGAGCGAACACTTCCACCAACACTTTTCCGTATTACTGCCTATTAGCGGACTAAATTTAAAGTGGTGCATTGGGTAAATACAAGTTTCACTCTCTTTGCTCTCGCGCAGACAGGTAGATTAAGGTGTAACAGCAGAAATCTTCACATTTGAGTCTCTGGGGGTAAATTGTCTCAATGAGGTTTTATGGAGGGTCTGTTATAATTAAAACGGAACCTCGTCTTGTCGTCTGTTTATTAATGACTGTGTTTACAACCACTGTACCTTGGGATTACTGAATTCTTCATGTGGAATCCAGATTATGAACAAATTGAAGTCACGCACCTCTGTAAAGTTAGCCAGATTTAGAAAGGATAATACAATCTAAAATAGCAGACGTTATGTAATTTTGCCTTCAAAATAAAAACATGCATAAGCAATGGCCAAAGCTAAAAATAAAAAAGAGCATTGCTTGGGAGTTTTAAATAATCAAGTACTTGACGCCAGAACATGTGAAAAATCTGAACAAATATTTTTAAAAAATTACCACTAAAATCTCAATGTGTGTGGCACGTAAATTAATAACAGTTTTACTTTCAGAAATTGTACCGGAAGTTACACATATGTTACGGTTAGCTTGCCTCTGTCTCCTCCGGCTCGTCTGTCCGGCGCTCTTCCCTCAGCGGGACTCTGCTGTGAACCGGCCGGTAACAGCCGCACTTCACCGACTACAACAGGTGAGAAAACCCTCTTCTCTCTAAACTTGTATTTATTAAGAATAAGCCTACTGAGACCTCAGTTTAGACTAATAATTGCGCTTTATACAAGTAAAAACCGCGTGTTTCGGACTTTGTGTGACCGGCAGCACCTTGACAGTTCAGAGTGACAAGTTAGCAAACAAGGAGCGGCTACACGTAAAGAGGAACAGCCGACACTCCTTAATAAATGTGCCAAAAAAAATGTTGACATTCCGTTTTTTCACTTACAAGCGAACAGCAAAACATGTAGGATGCATTTAAACGAGCCATTTGTGCTTTCTGATAAAGTCGGCACGTAAACAATCACCTTACACGTCATTATTTCTTTACGACATCAACTTCAGCAAATGTTTCATCCTTCTGCCCGTTTGTTTTGGTGCAGGAGGGCAACGTGATTCAGTTGGAAAACTTGAGAAATAATAAGGGGTTTTTAGAGATTCTTGGATTTGATGTATATCGAATTTACAGGCGACGCAATGATTTCTTTATAAGGTTCTTTAAATCTTCTGTAATGGATTTTCCCTGCATTTCAATGTGGGATTAAGCTGGCATAACTGAGATTGGGTTTTTAAAAATTACCCTGATGATTAAACAGAGTGTTACTAGGAAATTTGTAGTGCAGCACATAACTTGAGATTCCCTCACTTGTGTCTTTGTGAAGTCATTTTCTCCTGAATGTCTTATGACAAATACATTTTTCAGTATTGTGATCTTACAGTTCAGTGTGACTGAAGGAATTATCACCTGTCTCTTGGGCTTCCGTCCACAGCCACCGAAACCCACTGAACTGTGTCTATCTGCTGACATTCGGGCTAACAAGCCAGTTTTGGACTCCTTGTTTACATTCTGGCTCATGTCAGTAAGAGGCTGTGCAGTTGTTTACTGCCTGGCAAGGTGCCTGGCTAGTTTTAGATCATGTGTCAGAGCAAAGACATGCATTGGCATCTGCTGCTGGGCTACACTGCTCCACGATCACCTGGTAGTGTGGTGGAATAACTTAAGTGTCTTTCTAACAGCCCTAAATAGGCTGGCAGACATAATAATTTGCTTGGTTTTTAACTTACGAGTTGTGCCCCAGGCTCGACATGAACTGTGAATTCAAAAGCAACCAAAGACAGAAGCCTGCTGTGAGGGCTTGTCATGTGAGTTGGTTCTGAAGTCTGAAAACCAAATTCAGCTGACTTTTTTTTAAAAATGGCAAAACGTCTTGATGCTGCTTAATTTTTTTTCCTTGGCTTGCGTAGTACCCACTTTCGTGGAGACAAGATAAATGGAGAAAAAGAGATAGTGCTCTGCTTGCACCATCTCCTCCAAGATTGCCCCACAGCTTATTTTGGAGTCCAAGCTGCAGTTTTGTTTTGCACACAGAAAGGATCTGTGTTGTAATTGAAGGCTATGTGGCTCAGTGAAAAAGTCTGTTTGATGTTGTGTCAGTGATAGAAGCAGGGAAACCCAGGGGGAGTGTTTTTACGCCTCTCTGAGAACACTTGTGTCCCTTTGGTGTTGTTTCTGCACTTGCTGTCCCACATGATTGGAATTTCAGGCAAATTGGTTCTGAAGTGGCAGTGAGCGCTGCCTCACTCTGTTTGTGGGCAAGGGAAAAAAACAGATCTTTTTTTTCCCCCAATGACATAAACTGGCATAATGCCAAGCAGTGCTTGACTGAAAAGAAGCTTCCTTTAAGGGAATGTTATCAATGGACCGAGAGTTGATTCCTGCACGGGAAGAGTAAAAGATTAGCTGCATGCTCCTGAGGGACCAGGCTTCCTGGATCAGAGAAAACAAACTAAAGTTGGGTCAAGTTAAAGGCACATGCCTCATAATCCTGACAGAATTTATCCACTGACAGTTGTTTATTAAAAATTGACAGAATTTATCATTAAAAAAAGATTTTTTAAAATTGGTTTCAAGTCATTACACTCTAACTTGCTTGTTGGATCATGTGTCATGATCAGAACTCCGGGGGTAAGAATTATAAAATAATAGAATTATCATTAAGAAAAGTACCGCAGTGAAAAATGTGACACTGATTATTAATTATTTCAGTTATCAAGCAAACAAGACCAACTTCTCTGAATACAGCTTTTCAAATATGACAATTTTCTGCTTTCCCTGCTTTTTGCTTTTTTTGTGTGTGTACAGCTTGAAAAATGAATGGATTTCTCTGACTGTCAGTTACTCATTTGAATCATTTTTTTAAGCAAAAATCCCAACAATTGCTGATTGAAAGTGATCTTTGCAATATCTGGTTGTAAATTAAATTAGGAAAGCAATTTGAATCTCTCTCTAAATTGTCATTGAGAAGTTATAGTAGACACCTTTCTGTTTTTGACATTTTATTAGCCTCACTTAGCTAGACCTATCTCCACAGCACCGTGTCAGCACTGGAGAATGATCTGGCTCCACCTCGTTATCATTATGCACAAGAGGGGGAAAAAAAGCTCTGGCTTGTTTGTAATTCTTTGAACCAATTACACTTGTATTTGGTGGTGTCAAGCCCAGGATGCAGTGATGGTGCCCATGCAGAATAGTGACGGGGTCATTGTTTTGGTGGAACATTTGCACGCAGGGAGGTGAGCATATTTGGACATTAAAATGGCAAATTCATCAAAAGAACCAAACAGGTCTCTCTGATTGCACGATTCAAATTTTCTTCAAAAGCATTGAAATTTTCAGCATGTAGGTTGCTGCTTGCAGGTACTTGTTGTTGTTTCCTGTAGTGGTGGGGATTTTGGAAAAGGTAACAGATAGCGGAAGGGGAGGAGAAGGCAGTGTCAAATGGTAGGCTTTTACCCAAAGGCTACATCCTGTGAGTAAGACTAACTCTGACAAATCAAAATATCTACTCTCATGCAGTGATGTTACTTTCATTGACTGCATTTTATTTATTTATTTATTTATTTATTTTTACAGTACTGTAGACTCAATATGATTCCAATCTGTCTTTTTCTTTCTAGCATCCTCTTTGCAGTGTAATAGCAGGTTGGACTCCTTCTGCCTTCAGGTTGATGGTGACAGACTATGAACACGCACTCAGCCCTGCAGGCAACTAAAACCTCAACTCGGCTTACTGTCCCTCCAGATCCAAGATCATCATCCAGCAGCCAGCCCACCTTCAGAGATAATGGACGTAAACCCCAACAAGGAGAGGAAGAAAGCCTCCTGGACCACTTCACATAAAGCTCCTTCCCTCTAGATGCTACTGAGCCATCTCATGGCTGGGATTCTGCAGCTACCTGTTAATGTGCTGACAAATGTTTGCTGAAACTGTCCCCCTGAAGGAGCATTGAAAAAAGACGAGGACGCAGTCTTGGCTGTCACCTGAGTGCAGTTTGTGTGTCTGCAGCTAGGCTTGTAATCATGGGGAAAGAACAGGATCTGCTGGTGGCAGTGAAGAGTGGAGATCTTTTGGTGGCTCACAAACTTCTCTCCAAAGTCAAGTGCAACAAAACCAGTGAGTACAGAGCTTACAGAGGCTGGGGGGAGTTGGTTTTGCATGATTTCTGTGCCATGTTGTGTTTGTTCTGTGCTCAAGGCCTGGAAGTGTAACTGTTTCCACTGTGAAATAGAACATAGATAGCAGAGCTGGCGCTGCTGCCTTCAGCAATGTTGTTACTCACTAAAACAAGCGCAGTTTCTTTGTGATAACCACAGGATCAGGTTCAGCTGTCAACCACAAAACAGCCCCCTCCGGCAGTCAGGTCGGGGACAATTTGAAACTAAGTGGACTCAAACTGTGGCACAACACGAGCTAATCTCCTAAATGCAGACCCCTGCAGCTCCTGCATCTTGCTGTGTGGGTTTAAGGGCCTTTCTTTTTCGCTCTTATCTGTGTAGATTGTAAGTCAGGCAACAAGCGAGCTCTCTTTACAGTAGCACTGATGCAAATGACAAGGTTCTCCCTTATCCAGACCCAGAGAAAGTTGAGGCCAATAAGGCTGTGATGTTGAAGCTGCTTCCCTTTGTGGTGTTATCTACTGTGGGTTTTTCATCAGGATGGCTGGCTGCTCAGTGACAAGCTCTGGGAACAAAGCTGTGGCTGTCAGGAAAAAGCCTGTTACACACTTTCCACACTACACAGACAGTGAGAGCTGCTTGGCATAGAATATTAAAAATGATATTGTCTGTTTTTGTACTGCTGTGTACTTCTGAGAAAATCCAATGACTGCTAGACTGGCTGAGACACTGCAGCAGGGGAAAGTGAATGAGTAATGTTCTCTGCTGTTTTATAAACTACCATTGAGGTGCCCTGGAGTAAGGCACTGCATCTGCTTCGGAAGAGAAACTCTGTAGACAAATACAAAATTGTGGTTGTCCTGGGTAGCTCCCAGGTCATAATTATGAAAGAAAAAAATTACTTATTCATCAATTATGAATTGATAAATATAGGTCAACATAAATACATGAATATTTTAATTATCACACTATACACTTTCATGAATGCAAACTGCAGTGCCCTCAAAGGTCTGTCAATAGTAGAAAGACAGTGATGTTTCTGCCACTTTTGAATTTATGATGAGACAAAAGAACAGGCTGGCTTTGATTTGATTTCATGCTGCTTCTCAAATCAAATCAAATCAAATCAAATCAATCAAATCAAGTTTGTTGTCATTTTGCTGTACATACACAGTAGTACAGGCAAGATGAGAAAGCGTTGCTTCAGGATTATTCAACCAGCAAGTTTTGCGGAATGCACGTCTGGGATAAGACACTAAATGTTCACTCTTGCTGCCTCCTGAAGGGGCCGCTGCATCCATGCATGCCGCCATTCATTGAACATGGCGAACCTCTTCAGGTCCTGGTAGGTCTTCAGGGTCGCAAAGACACACATGATGGTGTGACGATGGTGAAGCCGCAGATGCTTCCCAGAGCTAGCTGTCTGTCTGTCCGCCCGGAATAATGTCGTCCCCTCCAGCTGTATGTCCGTCTGGGATGGTGTCATGGAGTCATGTTTCTGTTAAAGCAAACACACAGCAGTCTTTCCGCTCTCTGTGGGTTTCTCTCAGCAAATGTAGCTCGTCCAGCTTGTTGTCGAGGGAGCAGACATTGGAGAGTAGGTGCGACGGTCCTGCTGGTCTGGAGGGGTTAGCCTTTAGCATGGATCCCGGCTCTCTTCCTCCTCCTTTGTTTACGTTCGTACCGTTAGTGCTTCCTTCTCTCTCGGGTATCTGCCGGCGTAGTCTCGGATCGGACTCCGTGTTGGTGTAGTATGTCCAAATCACAATCGATCGCCGCAATTCCAGTGCCGTTCGCTGTCCTGATGCCCAGCAAAGTCTCCCGGTCTCAAGTTTTGCGGAATGACCATCTGGGATAGACAAGACACTCAAAACGGTTACGTTCGTTGTCTCCTGCAGGGGCCACTGCGTCTATGCGTGCCGCCATCACCAATTTATTTAATTTATTAATTTATGCAAATTAGTGTATATACGTTTTTACAGACAAACAAAATAACTTACCTTTCAGAATTTGAATTTGCCACTCCTTCAACATATGATGATTTCCACTGCTGATTACTCTGTCCTTTGTTTCTTGATTAATCAATTAGTTTGGTCTATAAAAAGAGAAAGGAAAGGAATTATTGGAAAATTGGAAGAGGATGTGCTTGTTTTCCTAACTCTGGTGGTCCAGAGTGATGTGAATGTTACATAAAGGTATGGGTTGATGGGTTGTTAGTTAGCTTAAGCTAAGTTGGTCAGCTATGTAGCCCACAGTTTTTCCATGTAAAGTTCTAGACAAATGTGAATGTTTAAAATCATAAACTGTTGGATCTTGTGACAGGCAACAAAATCTTATCAGTTGGTGGTTTTGTACACTGCCACATTCAGCACAGATCAGACCTTGTTATGGAGGAAGAATTGCAAAACACTGAAAGGTTAGTGTGAAACCTTTGAAACTTTTGCTTAGTGGTCCTAAAAAATACTTTAAGTAACCTTTTTCCTCAATAGAAAATTGGTTTAACTGAGTATAAGTTGAGCTCATGGCACGATTTTGCTCTTCACTACTACACTAAGAGTATACAAAAAAGATGTAGATGAAGAAGACAGAAAACTATGTTCACCTTTGTATTTTTGTCTTAATTTCTTTGCCAACACCCCTAAACACTGCTTTCAACACTGCTGATCCTTGAGAACCCTTGACAGTAATGTCAGTATGGCTGCATTACTCTGATCTAGTTGTTTGTCACTCTATTAGAGCCTCCAGTGTCTCACAGCAGTATAGCAGATGCTGCAGCTGGCAGGGAGGGTTTTGCAGATGACCTCCATTGTCTCCCATGTACTGAAGTGCCCTGTGGATAGGAGCAGATTGATTGGTTTGTGGTGACCTGCTTTAAAAGGTTTGAAGACCAGTAAGCCCAGAACTGAGGCTGTTCAGTATACTACCACTGGAGTCTCTGTGGGACTCTAAAGCAAGCACTTCAACTGATCCATGTAAAATCTGTTTCTCTGAATAGATGCAGGGAGCTCATGCTAGTTGCCTCGATATGTGCTGTTTTGTGGCACTCTGTGTTTCCCTGAATCTCTTCAACAGAAGCAAAGAGTACAAGTTAGCATGGCCCATCGAGTAACACTTGCCACATTATTAGGGTATATGCCAGGCTGCAATAAACCTTTTTTTTTTCTTTACACCATAGCAGCTCTTTTAAGTTGTACTAAGGCACTGTGGGACTTTGAGTTAAATGCTAATTTCAACATGCTAATATAGTCATGCTGATGTTTAGCAGGGAATGTTTACCATGGTCACCATCTTAATGTAGCATGTACACATGTTTGCATTCGCTTATTTGCACTACAACAAATATACTGTTGAGGCTAATGGCATTGGTTAAGTTTTTATTTAATACTTTTACATGACTGAAGACAAAGTGTATGTTTATCAGATTTATTTTGGATCCTTCCCAGAAGATTAACCATATGAACATTTTTCTTGGCCACCTTTCTAGACAAAATATCTTCTCTGGACCCCAGATTTTTTTTTATTAATCTAATAAACAGTTTGAGACAAAGACTTTCATGCTTCTAGTAGGATCATTTGAATTTCATAACCCATATGCAGAGATTGACCGTTGTGGTTTTTCCAGGACTGGTACTGATACCGATTATTAATAATCAAGGAGACCAGTAACCAATAGTTGGAACAGATATGTTTGTATTAAAATGAAAATCTCAATACCAAATTAAAATAACACAAAATACAAAACAAAATTTTGTTGAATTGCATTTGTTCATTTATATTTGACATATGTTCAAATAAATAGAACTTTTCAACATTTATCCTTCAGTGCTGATTGGTTATTACACGTGGCATAAACTGAGTCCAGGCGATGGTTGGTTGGCTGGTGGTCTGAAAACAAACAGACCAATCACAGTATTCAAGAAACACCTCATATGTAACAAAGAATAATTGTTTCCTTTGGTGCAAAGCAAAAAAATTATGTTTGAAAAGTTAAGACGAAAATTGTGATTGCTCACACCCATGCACTTTACAAGTGAGTTTCACTGTTACTCTGACAACAAACATGACTTATCCATAAGTGAAAAGCCTCTGGAAGGATCAGGTGCTTTTTAAGCTGTTATAGGGGTCTCAGGCTGACATGCTGGACATTCCCAAGCCTCCAGGCTAAGCCTCAGTCCTGGGCTGGGTGCAGATGGTGGGGTGAGGCACCTGCGCATAGACTGAGTGCTGTGTTGGGGGTGAAGGTAGGGGTGGGGGTGGGTGTTGGGGGTCAGGGACTGAGCGAGCATGTGGAGAACAGACAAAAACACAAAGTATTGAAAGAGGGGGTGTCCTAGTCCAGCTGGATGTATGGGACATAGCAGAAGGGGGCTGACTGTGTGTGTGCTCATGTTGTTTGTTGTTCAGGAGTCTGACAGTTGGGTAATATCAAAGTGAAAACACAGCAGGACCTAACATATATTGCAGCGCAATAGTGGGGTGTCTGGATAAACTGTGTTTACTGAGCGCAGAGGAAATGGTACAACATCCAATATTTGCCTTGTTTGTGCTGGAGGCTGCTTTCTTTCCTTTTGTTTATTTGTCCAATATTTCAGATGGCTAATTAAAATATCCATCCTGGTGTGGTGTGGCAGAGGTAGTAGTCTGAAATGTCATTACGTAAGTCTTGTAAATTGACGTCTTAGTTTCTCCTGCCACTAAATACCAACTCTCATAACATACAGTAATATCATTGTCTGTCTGCGATTCTCAGTGTCCTTCTCAGCTACTGAATGACTCCATTTAAATATTACAATAGTGCAGCAATAAATTTTAAGATTCTGAAGCAAGTGCATTAAATTAATCAACAGCAATGCTGAAAGTTGAATCATTTAAGTCATTCAGACTGGGAGCTGGCAGAGGAGACTTACAGTGTCTCAAGGGGATTTGCTGTGGCACTGAGGCTAGTTTGATGGACAGGGAGCTGAGATGGGAGGTTTCTTCTGTGATCAGCCATCTGCT